GAGGACAACGCCGGAGGGTGGAAGTGCAGGGCGGGCGCTCCGCACGTGAGGACAGACAGACAGCTAGTGAAGGTTGCAATCCCAAGACATCACTTTTCACCACTAATTTCACTCCACTAAAACCTTTCAGGGGGATGGGAGGGCGGGGTAGGGTAGCAGGTTAAGAGGAAAAAGACACCCTTTTGCTTGAGAAAAACTATCCCCGAAGTCTGCTAGTCAGCTAAATCCTGTGCTCTAGTTTTATACACCTAAGAGGGGAGGGGAGGAAAGAGGGAGGGGGGTCTGGTGGGCTGCTCCCCTCCCGAGGCTTCACTCCGCTGGGAGGAATCTGGGGGCTCTCATTCATGTGACAAGGAAACATGGAGAAGAGAAAAAAAAAAAAAGAAAAAAAGAAAACAAAAAAAAGAAAACAAAAAAACAGTTTCTAAACTCCTTAAATTCACTAAAAACTGTGAAAATTCCCGGCAGGATGTTTGAATATCAAACGCAGATTTTGGAAGCTTTAATGCCAAGAGTTAGTTCTGTGTGTTGGTTTTGCTCATGTCTTCCCGTATGTCTCTATCTGTGTGCTGGCCGCTGAACTGCTGCAGAGGAAGAGGAGGAGGAGGGGGTCACCAGGGGGGGGCGGCTCTTGAGGCTGGCCAGGGTGGGCAAAGGAGAAGTGCCATCGGTCTCCCGGGAGGATTTACTGCCCGACGTGCGCCGGGTGCAGCGCGACGACCGGTCCTGGGGGTCAGATTGGTCCTCGCACTCTGTCCTGGGGTCGTACGAGAGCGGGAAGGTGCGTCGCTCCCACGGCTGCACAGCCTAAGGGGAAGAGACACCAGGCTATGGAAAATCCTCCGGAAAAGCTCTTCTGCTCCAAGCACGACTCTGGCTGCCCGCAGCAGCGGTCAGAACGGGCAGCTCCATGGTGCCGTGCCAGCCACGGACTTAGCCTAGCCTCGTTAACAGTGCGGGGAAAGCTTTAGCGCGACGTGGTGAGGACACGGCAGCCTCCAAACTGAACCAACCACTGGAAAAGCATCCTGCTGCCGATGCCGAACGGCACTACGCTGGCCAGACACGAGCGTTCGGACAGGATTTCCCACATGCTGGTTTCCAAGCTGCCTCCCCACAGCGAGGAGGATAAAACAGCCAAATTTGAGCATCAGATTTACCTTTATACCACCCATCTGCAGCAGCCACTGCGGCGACACAGCGACGGGCCGCGCTCGGATCTTCCTACCAGCCTCCAGCAACACAATTAGAGCAAACGGCCATGGCTGGAGCCAGCACCCACCTGCTCATCGAGGCCGGCCTCGGGCGTGGAGCAACGGGTGTCCTCACTGGACAGAAGCCGCATGGAGTCACGGGAGAGGGGGGTGAGGGGAGCAGAGAGCAGTTCGGGGCTGATGGGGCTGCGCGGTGAGTGGGTGTGGGACAGCTCCAAATGTGAGTGGCAGTTGCCCACCTCAGGGGATGCCGGCTGGGGAGTCGAGGGGTTCCCCAGCTGGGGGGTCGTCCGTCCGTCCGTCGATCTGTAAGACCTGAGGTAGGAAGACATCTGAGAGCCTGGTTTCAGTCCCAGCTGCACTCCCACCCATGCAGCGGCCCAGGTCGCTTGCTGCCACCTGATGCCACCCTACGATCCCTTCCACCGCCCCCTCCTCGGGAGTGGCCGTACGATGGGGAATGCTGTGGGGATTTGGTGCACACGCAAGCAGGGAATGCTGCAGCCCAGAGGTTAAACTCATCCAGGCTCATCTTTGTCCCTTCTCCACTGTCTCGATGCAGCTTTGCAACACTGACGCTGCTCTCCTAAGGTTACGTGTCCCACGCATCTCCTACGCTGCGAGTGCTGCATAAATACCACGATGAGAAGCCACCCTATGACATCAGACACTTCACAATCTGTTTCTCCAAGTGTTTCCACCATCTACATGCCATGCGACACCAGGCAGTTCAAGAACCAAGCGTAGTGAATCAGTAATGCTGAAAATGCAGCAAGTTCAGCAGTTGGGGGTAGGAGGAGCACTGTAAAACCCCTGAACTTCAGAAGATTAAGAAATTTTGAAAGTTTGAGCACCTACACAGATTTCCAGACAAAAGACCCACAGGCTGCAGAGAAACCTAACTGGAGTCCTCACATCTGTGTGCAACTCTTCCAAGATGAGCTGCAACAGCAAGTGGAGATCAAGGACTGCCAAGGATCAGATTCCAAAATCTACCTTGGCCAAAATCAGAACATGCAGCCCCAATTAGATGGAGTCAATGGGCTGAGTCAAGATGCAAATTAAAAGCTGCTACAGGAGAAAAACCAGACTATTCTGTTACATACATGAGGCAGGAAGACCACAAGATGCTCAGCAGATCTGCTGGAGCAGGTCACAAAGAGAATGACGCTTAAGGGAAACTAAGCGAGTTTACCCCAGTGTTTACTGGTTATTACCTGGCCCAGTCACTCCACGGGCAAGGAGCAAGGTACTGGCTGAATCACAGCAACAAGAAGTTACCAGGCTCGGAGGGGCTCCAACCATTTCTGAAGAAAGACTAAAGCAGCTGCAGAGAACAACCCCAGCACGGGAACTGTGGGACTGAGCAAGGACCCTGCTGAGGAGGAACTCGGGACGTGGCGAACGCCAAGCTGAACTTGGCCAAGTCGCTCTCGTCACAAACGCAGCAATCCACGTCCCGGGATGCGCTGAGAAACATGGCCAGCGGAGCAGGGACACTCACATCCCCACCTGTCCCTGCTGGGGAGCTGCACTGGGAATACTGACCCCGGCTCTAGGGGAATCTCCGTCCTTGGAAGTGCTCATGCCATGGCCAAGGCCATGGCCAACCTGGTCTGCTGGCAACAGCCCTGCAGGAAGCTGGACCAGAGACCTCTGCAGGTCCTTTCCCACCAGCATTCTTAATCCTATGAGATGAAGTTTGAATTCACCTCTGACCAAGCCCAGGACCACAACACAGCATTTTTCACCGATGTCCTTCCAAGAGGGTCTTTAGAGAACACAGTTATGGTCATGCGAGGAACTGGCTGAAGAAGTTTGCAAAGAAACACCAAAATGTCCCACACGCCACCAGCACTGGGAAATGCAGCTGCAGACGAAACAAGGCAGCAGCAGCAGAAATGAGTTTGATAAACGCGACCTTTGCATTCACAGAAGTTTTTGCAGAAATAACCCTGTACGATCGCACACACCAGACAGGGCTATACTGAAACTACAACCAGACTAAGATGACCAGGTGCGTATTTGCATGCAGCTGTAGTTCAGCAAGCACTTCTGCCCAAGTGCGGAGTGGTTCAAAACCAAACAAAGCATCGCAGATCAAATGGAGAAGAGCAAATCTCTTCTTATGCAGGCTTATGATGAGATCACAGCTGGGAAGCGTGTGCTGTTTTAGACACACACTCACAAAAAGACACTGCAGAAAGGGAACGAAGTGTCAAGTGGTCAGAGGAACGTGAGGACACGTATGTGAACGGAGCGGAGAAACGCACTGCTGAAGCAATGAGCAGAGACGCGACAGCGTAACGTTGAGAACAACCACAGTTCCTTGTTCCTGCATGAAGGATGCCCATCTCAGCCCTTTCCTTTTTCTCTGGACTCCCGAGCCAGCACACCAGCCTCCACTCTTCTAGGGTGGTGTAAGTGCTTGAGAAAGCAGAATCCAAACAGATGGTGCAAGAGTTGCTTGTCTGTAACTTAACTGGTGTGTAGCTCTACCTCCACCTAAGCAAGACTACCCCCCACTCCTAAAAGGGCTCCTCAAGCTGCTCTTGTGGATGGTCATCAAACTTTCCAATACCAGCACAAGCTTTTAACCGTTTTTATGGATCAGCCAATCTAATAAGGCCTCCACAACCGGCTCCCAGGAGCATCCCACTGCATCCTCTTTGCTTTTGAGTGCTGTTGGTGCACTGGGGCAGCCTCTGCCAGCACTGAGGTGGTAGCGAGGAACCGTGCCGGCAGGCGTACCTGCTGCCCCGCCGCTGCGGGGGCATGCTCGTGCTCCAAAGCCACCGGGCCCGCTCCATCTCTTCACACTTGCTATGCCGAGCAGCGAAGGCCGAATCAGACAAGTCCTCAATCTGGAAAGGGAAGGATACAGGGCTTGGTCAGAGCTTTCTTACACTCAACATCCATCTACGTGCAGTTTTTTCAGCATTAGCTACAGCATGAATTTAAATAAATGTCTATGTCTGGAGGGAGGCGGATGCTATCAGTGAGTGCAAGAGCACCTTGTTAAACTGAGTCTGCATTGTTTAGGAAGAGATTAAAAACTAAAAACCAAAGGAAAGTACTTCGGCCCAGAGTGAAAGCGCTCACACAGAGGTTTAAGGAAATACCATCAGTATCAGTTTAGCTAAAACAATAACTATAGCAGCATGACTGGTCATTGATTTCTTGATTAGACTATTTCACAAAAAGATTGCTGCCCAGAGAGGTCTCCTGACAGCAATCAGACCTCATATTCAGCTGTACCCAGCCAGTTAATCCAACTTCTGCCTTATCACGCCTTTCCTGAAAAGGAACCAACACCAGGCTGGTTTCTGCAGGGCCAAATGTGCCATTTTGTTGAAAAAAAGGAAGAGACTCTGCACCTCCCTGCTGAGGTGCCTGTGTTCAGTCCCTTCCGGAATCCTCTGTGGACACTGCTCGGTCGTTACCAACCCCTCCCACGTTAACTCGGAAATAAAACTCTTCTTACCTCCTCATTGTCTTCATCAGGGTTCGCTTTCAGAGCACTGATATCCACTTCACGCCAGCTGCAAGACACAAGGTCAGAGGGCAGTCAGTCACCGGCACAGCCAAGCACAGCACCACATGCCCTGCGTGCACTAACGCTGTCTTTTGGGAAAAGAAAAAAATACAAGCTTGCCACGATGAGCAACATATTTAGGCTCAGTTTTAAACCACATTTGTCTACCAAAACCCCTCCTGTGCTTTCAGACAACGGTTTCTCCCCTTCCCCGGTTAGCCTGCTCCATTTTGAGCACATCCTTTTGCAGCGCGTTCGCACCCACTGAGTGCAATGCCGGGGGACAGGCAGGAGACGTCCTTCCACGTTGGGAGGGTCAGGAATGGGGAGCGAGGCTGCCAGCGTCCTCCTGCTGCAGCCCTTCCCTTCTGCCTCCCTGCCCAGCTCCTGGCGCTGGTCTGGCAGCGTGGCTGAAGCCTGCCAAGGCCAGAGGAAGCAGAGCAGATGTCACAGCATTTCCTCCTCTTCCTCTGGCTCAGCAACAGGCTCCCTCCCTGCCCCGCTCTGAAGAAAGCCTGGGAAGAGCTTGTAGGACCAGGAAGACGAAAGAGGTAAGTTGGGAAAGAGACCTGGAGAACTGGAAGGGAGAAGGACTCTAAACTGGACAATTGGATGAAGAAGTTGCATCAGCGCCGCAGCAAGTCGGCGCACTCCGGCGTGCAAATCAGCAATGGATCTCATCCACGGTGTTAGTCCAAGAACATCCGAACAAGGGCTGACAGCTCACCTCGCACTCAGCTCGGGCAGAGACACCTTCCAATTCCTACCACCGCCCAGGCACGGGAGGGCTTCTCCTGGCCGCTGCGATCCAAGGCAGCGGCCCTCCTGCACTGCCATGTTAACCCAGCCCGGGCACCCACCACCCAGCCCGGACGCATGCAAAGCTGGGAAACCACCAGGATCTTCAGCTCAACATACTTGGCAGCTTTGCAGCAGGACAGAGGACAACAAGGATGACTTTAGGTTGCACAAAAACTTTAGACTGCACAAAGACTGCACTTAGATTGCCCTGAGCAGGGCAGCCGGCTTTCATGCACGAGGGACACTCAGAAAACATATTCCCTAACTCAGCAAGTCTGCATCAACGATATGACCAGAGGTTTTCCAAACTTTCTCCTACTTTCAGGGAAGAATAAAGCCCCTTTCCTCACCAGCATTAGCAGCCACTGGGAGCAAAGCCCTAGGCCAGGGTTAAACTTCTGAGAGGACAATTGCACAGTAAAAGCCTGGGATGTGACAACCCCGCTGGAGCCAGGGGTCAGGCACGTACCTGGGTGTGAGGATCTCTTTGTACTGCAGTTTCTCCACACGAGTCGTTGCAGCAACGGACATCGGGATGACGATGTTGTTAATATCAAATGAACTTTCGCCTCTCCTCCTCCTTGGCTGCTGTAACACGAAGACAAGAACCACGTGAGAAAGAGTTGTAGGTTTTGTCACGTTAAGTCCTTGATGGAAAAAGGACATGGCCTCATATGACCTATGGAGACTCCAGAACTAACAGTCATTTCCATCAGAATGGATTTCACCTACTGCTTGCTGGAAGTCCTCTTCCCAACCAAAAATTCTTCATTTTGAGGGTACAAGAAAGGGCAAGGGCTGCAGTGGTCCTGCAGGCACTGAAGCAAGGTGAGCAAGGGCTTGCAGAGCTCCAGCCACCATCTCCACACTGGCACCAGCTGCTGCACAGCCAGGTGGATCAGGAGACGGGTCCAGCTGATAAACTGACCCAGCAAGAAAAGCCTCCCATATCATCCAATTCCCTACTGCCAATGTAAAGAAAGTAGTGAGACCATCAGGAAAGAGGGAAGAGCCATCCTGTTTGGCAACGGCCCCCCTGCTCGTGGCCCTGCAGGGGTGTGGACCCACCACAGGTGACACTGTGACAGAGGAGGAACGTGAAGCAGTCGCACAGGAGTTCACCTCGGGTTATGACAGCTGTACTAAGAGCCTAACAGCTTCCATCTGTATCGCGCATTTGACTGGAATAGATTTTTTTAAGACAAAAATAAGCTCCACGCTTATCTATTTAAACCTGGTTGAACGCTGGGTGCTCTCCTACCATCTGTCTATCCAAAAACCTCCCCCAAACCTATGACAGCAGCACTGCCGGTACAGTGATACGAATCCTCATGGATCAGCTTGATACGCAAACGGCCCGTCTTCCTCACAGTCACATGCAATTTACCATGTTCTGCGTCTCCTTTGATCCCTGTGGCTTTTAGCGTAAAAACATGCAGGAACCCAACTGCCAGGGACCTGCCAGGTCCCAGGACTCCTGTGAAGCTGGGTGAGGATGGAGTGGGTGGGTAACTATTGCCACGGCAGCAAGGAAATGCCAACGTGTCACTGTCAACAGTGAGGCTGGACCCACTGGTTGGGGAGCACATGCAAACCTGCGCCAGACTGCGATGCTTGAACCTAGGACCCGGACCCTTGAGTCCGGAGATCGGACCCAAGCGCTGGCAATGCTCCTGCAGGACTTGGCTGCTGAAGGGAAGACACTTCATCTTCCTTTTCTGAACAAGCTTGTGAAAGAGCAGCAGAAAAAGCAGCAAGAGAACACCAAAAAACAGGTATGAAGCACAAAGAAACACCATCTTGACATGCCAGAGCCACTGAGAAGAGCTGCGCTCTTCTCCAAAACAACTAGCACATTCAAGCCAAACTACCACTGCTCGCTGGGTTCTTCAGACACCCTGTGCTACCACAGGGTGTTTCGCTGATGTCACAGCTGATGATGCAACAGCAATCTCCGCAGTGAAGGAATCCAGCCGAGATCCAGCAGCTCCAGAGCAACAAGCTTGCACCAAGGACAAGGGCACACACAATGTTGAGCTGGAAGTGGTGCCCTCAGCTCTGCCATGGACAGATGCCTCTTAAGCACCCTGGTTTCGCCATCAGGGCTCGACAAAATCTGCTGTTATTGCTCGGTCACATCCAGCTTACGCTGTGGCACAAGCTACTAACTGGAGTGGTCAGACAGAGACCAGGTTCTTCACTGGGACAGTTTAGAGTTCAGCAGATCTCAGTCCTTTAATCAAGAGCTTCTGTTAACGTGTGTGAGGTGCTGGGAGGACGGACGATGCCTGGCAGAGGAGCTATGTCATCCATCTGTCCCAGGGCACAGTGGGAGGGAGTTACAGTCGTGCTCACTGACAGCTTTTAGACACAGCTTCATAAAGGTCCCAAATCCTGTCACCTTTTAGCATTCTGGGAGGCTGAGCATGTTTCAGAAGGCAGTATGAGTTAAACAACTGCTGCAGCTTGTGTAGAGGTGAAAGTTAAGATCCCAGCCACCACTGATGTGATGCCCTGGGACTCAGCCCCAACCCCGTTTATAGCCCAGTGCCACTGAGACCATGCAGGGCAAGCCATCTCGGTGGAAGCACCCTTGTACCAGCAGCAGCACACTGCTGGTGCTCAGCTCTTCTTTTCCTGGCATCCTCAGACAACTTCAGAAACCAAAACCCAGATGTGGAGCAAAGCCAGGAGACTACTGAGAACAGGAACGTTTACCAGCAGTTACTGCGTTGACACCGACCCTGTAATGGAGCTGGTTGGTGCTCTGCACAGCCAACGTCATCCAGGAACCCCAGCAGACCCAAAGTCAGAGTAAGAAAGGGGGCCAGCAACCCTACCATCAGCTGGCCCAACAGGTCCAGCACGGTAAGATGCCTGAATTGCTCAAAAACTGAGACCCCGTGACAAAGGCAAGCCCAAAAACCTCTCCAGAAAGGCAATAGATACTTACAGCTGTGCTGGAGGTGCCCTGTGAACTTGTGCTGGCAGGAGCGGAGCCTTCCGAGGAGGTGGACAGTTGCCGCGCTATAGGGCTGTGAGGTGTAGGGGTCACAGCTGCTGACAAGTAGCTTGGGCCACCAACGTCCGTGTGATGCTTCAACACTACACAAAGGAGGGTGGGAGAGAATGAAGAATGCCATTAGCAAAAAAAAAAACCCCCACAAACGGGGGTGGTGGTGGATAGAAAAGGACCATGTGCACCAGAAATGGCCAGTGCTGAGGAACACTTTGCATGAAAGAGAAGCACCTTCTGACGGCGGCTGCCAGCTTGAGAGGCCCTGGGGGAAGAAGCAGTTAGAGCACGAGGCGTTGCTGCGGTGGCGACAAGGCCCAGAAGCAGTGCGTTCCCCCTTCTAATGAGGCCGAAGGGGGAGAGAGGCTGGATATGCAGCAAAGCCCAAGCTCCCCCCGAGAGACCTGGCCGTGGGAGCCTACCTTCACTCCTCTCAGATGAGCAGTCTCGCAATCGCTTTTTGTCATAGGCAGGAGGCTGGACAAGCGAGCGCTCTGGCGCTCTCTCGGCCTTGGCCATGGCCGTAAAATCGTCTAAAGGCGGCCTGTGTGCCTTGTCTGGTTGGATTTTTTGATGTGAGCGCTCTGAGGAGGGGAACAGAGAAAGAGCTATGAAACGCCCGTTTTCACCTCTCTTTCTGTTGGCACAGGAAACTCGGGTAGAGTTTACCAGCTCCATAAATCCAGACAGGTCAGGCTCAACACCATCAGGGCGCCGGAGAGATGTGCTCAGAGCAGAACGAGCCGTAGTACTGCCCGTGCCAGTGTGAGCACAGGCTCAGACTGAGCAAGAAGAGGTCCCTACGAACCGAGACCAGCCTGAACTTCACAACCTGCACACTTCACCTTCAGCCCTGGCCTGCCAGACCACGGCCTCATCCCTGAGAGCTGAATTTGAAGGGTATCCTCCTCCTCTCTCCTCCCAGATTGCAGGGCTGTCGGGCACAAAACTAGGCAATGTTTCTGCACGCGGCGGAGGCAGGGAGGACACTTACTGGCTGCAGTGAAGAACGAATTCACCAGCTTGTGGCGGTCCTTGCGAGCAGGGTCAGACAGGCTGCTGGTAGGCATGGGGGCTCTGTGCTTGAGCGAGAGCTTTTTGGGAGGTTTAATTTTCTCATAGGGTTTGTTCTGCCACTGAGATTTCAACATGCTCTGGAAGTGCAGGCTTGTCGGCACATCTGCAGAGGGATACAAACCACAGCATTCAAATTAACTAAATTACGCACCAGAAACCTGCGGTACCGTAATGCTCTCCCAGTCCCCCGATAAGAACAGCCCTCGACAAACATACAGGCATTGACTGTAAAACCCAGGCTTGCCTACGCCTTCCTCACATTCAGAGAGGACCTCCAATGCTAGGACCCAACATTTCTAACCTGAAGCTCTTTGAGAGAAGGATTTTCCTACAGGATTCACAGACCAAGTATATCCCAGCAGGAGAACGAAGCCTTTGTCAGAAAAACCATGCATCTTTACCACTGAAGGTATCTCATGTACTGCCACGCTCAATTCTGCTATCTCAGATCTGACTTCCAGGAATCTAAGATACCTCATCAGCACATCAAATCTACAGAGGTGCGAGCTGGAAGAGAGAAATTCAGCTTAAATCCTCAATTTCAGGTCAAGCCAAAAGCCAACCAAGTACTGTATGACGTTAATCTGCCCGATGTGGCACCTCAAGCATCTAATGAAAGTTGTGTAAGCGAGCACACTTCACAGGCTCAAAGAGCAGAAGTACTGCTGCTCACCGGCAGCTCCCCGGGCAGGGGCCGGGTCACGCAGCCGTCTGCGAGCGGGCAAACTCACCGGTCATTACCTGTGTAACTGATGTATTTTGAGCCTGAAGTTTCTCTGCAATATACCACCCACCACAGTAATCCAGAGTACTTGTCCTTATTTAATCCTGCAGTCTCACAACGAGCACAAGTACGCTGTACTGCTGTGAAATTTGGCAGACACTACTTTTGCTTACATTCCTCAAGCTTCGTTTCTCCCAAATCCCATACAGACGCGCACTCCTGATCTTAGTTGAAAGACAGAACACTAATGAGATTATTCAGTGTATTTCTTGTGCAGATAGGCTAAGGTAGACTATAAAAACCATTAACTGGAGTAGCAAACTAGTCCAGCCTCAGGAGTCCCACAAATAAGCCTTCCTTTCATAGTCATAGCTTTAAACTTCAGATTTGTTCACCAAATACGGATGCCCAAGTCTCCTCCAAGACCCAGCTCTCTTCTACATGCCTGAGGGCCAAAATCCTAGTTCAGAAAAGCATTAAAACCTTTCCGGTTAAGAAGGCAACTTCTGAGACGTTTGTCTTCTCCAACTACACCCGTAAGATGATTATACACCAGCATTTGTAGTTTGACATGCCACCCATCTGCTCTCCTCCCCCAGCACAGGCCAGCAGACCGTCACCAGCAGGACACGCAGCCCGATGCAAACTCATGCTGCTACAACTAGGAGTTAAAAGTACTAAGATGAGCATCAGTAGTAGAAACATCCCTCCCGCATCTCTCAAGCTCTCATGACATTTTCACAGGGACTTTGAAGCCACCCTGGGCAGAGATGAACCTTGCACAAGGAATAAAGCTCCTCACTCTGCGCCTGCAGAGGGGACGCGGAGGCAATTAGGAGCTGCCATGGGATTCAGAAACTGCATCTAGATAACCTCAGAGGGCAAGCGGCAGAGATTCGAGCCCTGTCGGTACTCTCAGCGGCTGATACCTGAACCCCGCTCCAGTATTTCCTCACCAGTTCCAGGGACTGGAAAGTCCCAGCAGAGCCAGGCAGGCAAACAGGCTGGAAAGAGCTGGCAGAGCATGGGCTGGAGTCAGCTGTTATTAATGGGGGAAGTTGACTCTCAGGAAAAAGCGAGGACAACTGCATTTCCCATACCTTGACAGTTAAAGCTCTGGTTTAGCCCCATCCATTTGCTAAGGAAGGGCTATCACAGCGCGATGGCAGCTCTTTGGCCACCATTACTGGTTTGTGGAGACATGTCCCAAAGAACAGAGAGGGGCCAAGCCAGTCCTTTAAGGACGTTGCCAGCAAGGCTGCAGCACGACTGTGCTGAAGTGGTCCGACTTTGGGAAAATAGCCTCCTCTCTTTGCTAATCTTTTGCTTTCTCCTCAAAATTCACGCCATCCCAGCATCCCAAACGTCTGTGGCAGGACGGGACAGGTCGAAGGGAGGGGAAAAATGCAAGACAAAATGTTGTCAGCAGAAAATGAGTTATTTGCTGGTTCGCCACTGCCCTGCTGTCAGCACTGGTTGCACCAGAGTCCGTGCAGCAAGTGACACTGTCACTCCTCCTCCTCCACCAAGGGTGCAGCCCTCCCAGGGACCAGCAGATGGCAACCACACTGAGCCCGAGAGCCCTGGCTTTCGCCATCCCTACCAAGGTTATTACATCATCTGAAAATTCCCAGCAAGAAATCAGATGAACCAGAAAAAAAAAAAAAAAAAAAGGGGCAACCAACTGAAAGGAAGGGGACAAAGCGCTTACGAAGCGCAAGTGCAACGGGTTAAAAGCCGCGATGCCTGTGCCCTGCTTGCCAGAAGGATAAATGATCTTTTTCCTCCTGTGGTGCCTGGCAATTTTGCCCTTGGCAAACGGCATGGGAGATCCCCGGCTGCTGGCACCGGAGGAGCCCCGGAGAGACAGGCTCAAAGTGAAAGCCAGCACATGCTCTAACAGCCTCACAAACTCCTCCAGAAGGTCTTGACTGAGCCTCTGCCCGTCGACCCAGCCAGTTCGCTTTCAAGGTGAGCCCCCAAAATAATCACGAGGAGCACCACCAGCAACCCGGATCAATACTCGCAGGCAGGGAGACGCTGTGACGCGGACACAACGTCAGGCAGAGCAATTTCCCTACCTGAACGTGCTACCTGGCTTTATGTTTGGATAGAAAAGTATCCCCATCCCGAAAAAGCACGTTCTGCAGAATTACATTAAGCATTAGCCAATAATCAAAGTTATTCTGAGGGAGGAAGGGGGGGAATGGGTATTTCTGTATAAGTGTTTTAAGCTTTACACCCTACAGTTTTAAAAACAAGTTTTTTAATCTCATGCAGCCAGAAAGGATCTTTTACCATGTAAGCTGGCTGCAACTGAGCCTAAGAAAATGGAAAGTGAATATGGGATGAGATAATTTGCTTGGTGGCCATGCTGCAATACCACACAACAGTTTTTCTCACCACTTCCTAGGTTATTAGCTTTAACACTATAGCAGAGGATTACAAGTGCTGTGAAATCAGGAAATAAATTTCTGCTTCAGGAGTTCAGCGCGTTAAGGTCCTTTAGCATTCCGTAAGAGAGATGTGTCTTGGGGGGTGTGGTGGGGACTTAGTTTTTAAAAATAGCACCAATTTACTATTTTAGTCTGTTTTAAATATAGCGCTAGTGAAAGATGCCAGATTAATTGTTCCCAGGCACCCCATGCATTTTCTACTGTCACACAAAGTTTGTGCAAAGCTGGAATTTTAACCCAAACACACATATTAGCCCAGTGTCTTAACCTGAACCAACCACTTCACATCCTCATGAGAAACAGGGACACACACCTTCCTCCCAGCATTACCAGCAGTGTTTTACACCTCAAGCAGCCAGTTAGGCACTCCTGCCAAGGAAAGGAACCACTACGATCTATTCACTGCCTGGCTCTCGTGATAAAAGTACCAGTTCCTATCATTTGTGATTCTGTATTTTGTGATCGTGGGAAAAAGATGACTGATGGACACAAATCTCATGCAAGCCAATGGTTTTTGGTCAAAGAACAGGCTTGTATTTAATTTGGCAGCTTAGGAAGCAAAACACTCTGGAAACTACTTCTTTTCCCTTGGGAAAAGTCCCTACACACAAAATCTGTGAATACCCCCCAGTCAGGGTTGGTTAGTTATTCCTCTAATGATGTTTAACCCTGATACTGCAGCACAGGGAAATGAGCGTCTTAACGAGAACATCTCTTCTTACTGTATCCTCTGAACCATGGAAGCTCATCTACAATTCCTTACAAGGTCAAAAAAATTTGTGACAATCCACAAATAATTTTATACAGATGATTAAACTCTGCGGAAGCAGATATTTCTCAAGTGGTTTATAGCAACAAAGACACCAGCCTGAGACTCAGGTTCCAGTACAGATGCCCAGGCACTACTTGGCTTCTCCACCTTGATCATACCCAAGCAGATCTGTACTTCCCCTGGAAGTCTAGGATGGAGGAGCAGGTTCCAGAGCACCTCCAAGCATTCCTTGTAACCCACCTCAGGACCCAGGTTGACAATACCCCCCGGCAGGTCCGTGGATGCTGTGCTTACCATCTGGGAATGATAGGACAGGATGAATACATGAGTCCAGTTGGGAGAGGCGCTCCAGCAAAGGAGCATCGTACTGGATTTCCAGAGTTGTTGAGCTTCGAGTGCCACACAGAGCACATGAAGGGTTCACGTCACAGCTACATCGCACCAGGTTATTACGATGGACCTGGAAAGGGGACAGAGAATAGTGTCAACACATCAGAGGTCAATGTGTCTAAGAGCTCTCTTCACACGTTTCCCCTTTGACAGCTCATGAAAAACATCCTAAAGGCTGTTGTTTGGTTGGTTTAGGTTTTTTTTAATACCTTGTATAAAATCTGTTAATTTAGTCTGGACTCATAAAAGGACGCTTTCACTTTACATAAGCACAGCTGAAATCTACTACTCACCAGCACAGACAGTTTAACGTGTACTAACTTTGGCTAAAAGTGTTTAATTTTATCTAGATTGAAACCTCATTTATAAAAACCATAAGGCAGCACAATTCAGTTGTCAGAGAGAGGAAAAAAAGCGTTTTTGAGTTCAGATGGGTCAGAGAGCCATCACTATATGCCAAGGGCTGACACTTACAGGGATTAACTTTACAGAGTAAAAAAAGAGTGTTTGTCAGCCTTGTTTCTTAAACCAGGACAGACTTTCAATGCACGGACTTACAGACTTTCTATAGACTTCATTTATATGAAACCACTGTAGGCAGATGCACAATTGGGCGTAAATCCCACAAAGACAGCAACCTATGATTCCCCATCAAAATGGAAGGACGTATCAAACTGGATCCTGCAGAAGTCTGTCCTGAGTCTAGGATTATTCAAGTAATTTCCATTAATGACTTGAATGATGGAAGAGATAATATCCTTGAGCTTTAGCAAATAACACTAGAACTGGAAAGGGCTGCAAGCACCTTGAAGGAAAGAGCTGAAAATCCACTCATGGTTACAAATTAAGAGAAACTATCTAAAACAAATCAAATATAATTCACTGAGGGCAAATGCAACAAGTGGACAAGAGGAGGAAAAGGTAACTGAGCAGCAGTTCTGCCCAGAGGACCTGGTGGTTGTTAGGGATCAGAAAATGAGCATGAATCAGCAGTGTCGTACCATTACTGAGAATTAACACCCCACAGGGCTTTATAAACAGGATGGCCGTGCAAGACGCATGAGGTAATCCTGCCACTCTGCTCAGCATTGCTAACATGTGAGCTGGAGGGCTGCACCCAGTTTTGGGCACATTAGTTCAAGAAATGTGTGCACCAAACGGTGAGGAGAACAACAAAAAAATTTGAAAACAAGATCCAGAAAGATACATCCTATGTGCAAAACCAGAAAGACCCTTGGCATGTTTAGTATAGAGGTGACCACATTAAGAATTACCACATCAACTCTCACACTTCGGGGAGAGCTTCTGAAGTGATGAGGGGAGCTGACCAGTTTACAACAGGACTTGGTACTGACTTTAAAAAGGCAGCCAAGGCAGCTTATATTAGAAAGTTTGGTTGGTTTGGTTTTGCTCTCTGAAAAACAAGACTAGCTCAGCACTCAAATAGCTTGCCTAAGGAGGTTTAGACAAACCGTCTGGCACGGTATGAGGACAAAGCAGTCTGCTCTGGGGCACGGGGATTCTGTGGGTGACTGCAGGAGATCCCTGCCGATCCTTGTTTCGCAAGACTGTTTTCAACCCAGTGTGGGCTACAGTCCCACTCAACCTTTAAGTCGCTGTTCTTTCCTACAGGACACCTCCTTATCTAAAAATTTCACGTGATATTGTATTCAGATTTTGTAAAACAGTACGCACAGTTATGGATTATCTCTACTGAAAGAGTGAACTCTCCTGGTTGTAATTTCTGGTCACAACAATCCACAACCACTTTGCGGTAGATTAGACAGTGTGGTCAACTGGATATGGTATTTCTGGACCATGACCCAGCCATCACTCAGCTTTCTCTCGAATAACTGGAGGAGTCCACAGAAAGCCTCTGCTAACTGGCACATCTTCCACCCTTTGGAATTGTTCTTCTGAACCATCTGCGATTATCAAATCTATCTGATGACTACAGTCAAGATCTAACACAGAATTAACAGTCATTTCTTCAAACACTGAGTGCACAAGTCAGCATCACCTACGAGACGGTTCATAAACTTCCAAATCACTGAACATCTTGCAAGCAGTCACTGCAGCGCTCTACCAGAAATACCCCAGATAAAACTGCAAACGAGTAACCAGTTACAGCTAACTCATCTGAGTGAGAATCTATTTTACTCAGAAAAATGTGGCTTTTTGAGCTTATCTTTAAAACTCCAGCACTCGCAGAGTGAAAGCCCCTGAACCCTTGGGGTAGAGTTTGACTTTGAAACACTCTGACTCAAAGGTAAGTGGATTTTTGTCATCTATGATTCTGCAATCATGAGAGCTGCATGCACAAAAAAGGTCCTTATTCCCTCAATTTCTAACTATCTATCCTCCAACTGACAGTTTAAGCCATTCCTAAGAGAAATTAAGAAGACTGAAGCACAGCCTTTCCTCATACAGGAAATAAACTGTTTTTCCACTGAACTGAATTCTGCATAAGGGCAAGGGAAGACTTTGAAGAGGAGCATAAAATAAAACAAAACAAAACAAAACCAAGAATAGAGTCATGGCATTCAGTCATTTCCAAACTTAAGCAGTGGAAGCGAACACGATCACCTTGGCAGGCCTTTTGCAAGACATCCCACATATGCCTGGTCCGACAACTATAGTTTTTCCCTGAGCAAGTAGCAGCAAGTTCCTGGGGCTGTGTTAGTTCCTGTGCTCAGAGTTAAAGTTTCCTAATACTTGACTTTTCAGGGCTTCTTTCGACTGCTCAGACTGTGCCGTATTGAACTACCTGGCCTGAAGTTCACCTCAGGCTGGCTCGTTTTAGAAAAGAAAAACCACATCAAAGTTCAGCATCTCCCCTCCCCAGCGATAGCTAATAAAAGTCTTCCAACGAATTAAGAGCTTCTCCTTCGTTTCTCCTCTACTTCTCCAACAGTCTTTGAAGCCTCACTGTCCTCCTCGTCCTCCCCATTGTTTTTCCCCTCTTAATAACCACAAACCTTCTCAAAACAGGGACAAAGAGCAAAAGCACACTGGACCAACGCATCAGTACCTCAACCAGGCCCTTTAGTGTGGAGCTTTAACTACATACTGCATCAAAAAACCCAAACAGCACTAACCTTTTTGGAAAGGGGCATAATGCTGCTAGGTCGAACAAGCCGTCGCTTCTTACAGCTCAGTACTGGGCGAGTGCGAGCTGCTACACATGTTCCATCCGAAGATGAAGAAACCATGTTCAGTCGTTGCTTTTTATGCAAGAGCTCCTCAGCTTCCTGGCCATCTCCCTGAGCATGTTCTGCCAGGCCAGGCTGAAGACTGCCCGAGAAGAGAAAAGAATGAGACAGACACTGTTATTCATTCAACCACCCCATGTTAGCCAGCAGTATCAGCCAGGTTCCCGATTCAGACCTTAGCAAAGACTCCAAGCAATGGCTTTTATTAAGGCAACTCTAATTTTTGCTTTTACTTGGGTCACTTTCCACTCTCTGAACCTTTGACAAAATGCCTTTAGAAGTTCTGAACAAAAAATAGCATGTAAAGCCAGACACAGAGCAAAACCGAAAGCTACTCTAGCCCCGAACAGTTTTAATCCTAGAATTCAGCTTCCCTCAAAATTACAGTTCAGGGTGTCTTAATACAACAGGTTTTCACGAGTCTAAATGCCAGCAAGCACAAGACAGAGAACATATCCTTTTCTAGAAAAAAAAGATTTAACCTTGATGTAAACTTGATTCTGATTTAATATAATATTTCAGAACTGTACCTCTAATGACTCTCAGCAGTGACACCAGAAAGGTGCAATGTTAATATTAACCTGTTTTACGTACAAAGAACTTTCCTGTCCACACGCAGTAACCCTGCCCTACCGTGGCATCAATACACCATGCCACCTACCAAACGGCAGCGCGGCTCCTCATCTACAGAACCTTTTCATGTATATTTTACAAGTGTTTCATTTCTAAAAATGCAAAACATTAAAGCCCTGTGGTCTAAGGCTCTGCAGTTCAAAGGCTACAGGCATATAAAGGGCTCTGTTATAGCCTGCAGTGTTCCAGCTGTAGCAATGAGTTCAGCTGATCGGTGGTGCGCTTGCTCATGCCGCACCAGTGCAACATCTCTCCCTCCTCAAGGTACTAAGCAAGTGCAACGATGCTGGCAAAGCTTCTCTAGCCACTACCAGAACTTTGAAGCTCTGTGCGTTCAAGGGTTTTCAAGTGGTTCAACCCTGAAATCATCCTGTAGCACAGGAGAATTTCTTTCACTTCTTTTCATTTACCCACTTAAAGTCTTACTCAACAAAACCAGCCTGGAGAAACAAAGAATTTAGAAAGTCTTACTCCCCAAATCAATGGGATTTGGGTTCCTCAGTATCTCCAGAAAAGTGGAGGCCAGTGGTTACAGCTACTTCTACAAAATAATTGCAAGCAGGCCACTAGTACCTTTGAACCATACAATTTGCAAGTGTATTAAAAATAAAGAAACAGTTTTGAACACGCTCATTGCATGTTGCCTGCAGGGCTTGTTCATGTAAACACAGCTCAGTTTAATACCATTTTCAGGAAAACAATGCAGCAGAAAACCTCAAGCAAGCAATCTCCTCAAAATGTTTCCAAGCATGATCTACTACCAAACTTTTTTCAAAGAGAGACCATTTATACTGTTACCAACCCGGTTACTACCCACCAGCATGCTACAGGCTGGTTTCCAATGGGACTTTGTCAAGATCATAAAAATCAAGCTCTTTCCAAGAGCTCTTCGCAATACGCAAGCAGCTTACGTGTTAATAACTCCATTGACGGGTCTTGGTGCTCCACAGGGCTTGGCGGGATGGGATTCAGGAGTATTTGCAGCAGAAATACCCAAGTTCTCTAGTGGCTGGGATCCAGAAACACTCTAAGGAAGGATGAGAAAGATCGCAAATTAATAAAAAAGCTTCTTAAATAGACACAACATTCTTATGCCCGGTTTCTAGTTGAGGATTCCGCACTGTAGCCATGGGTTTCCACACAGGACTTCAAAACAAGGGTTCAGAAGTCACTATGTGAACAGAAGACCGAGACGTAAGAATTTCTTCAGGGAGCAGCTCTGGCAAGGGGATGGATACACGAGGGCCCTTTTCAATGCGAGAAACAAAGGACTTCCAATTCCCCTCGGGCAACCACGAAGGAGCATGAAAGGCCGAGGTCTTTAGGGAGATTTTAGCATTTTGTCTCAATAGTGCAAACAAGTTCATAACCACCTGTAAACCTTGCAGGCGTCTTCTGAAGTTTGATGTTGTGCTCTAAGCCACACGGCTGCAAGCTCTTGTCTGGGCACTTTGGGGGAAAACAGGAGGAGAGGGAGAGGAGAACAGACTTGCAAAACTGAATTTGCATTTAACTAAATACCTGTGCAAACATGGTCCAAACAGTACTTTAAAAAGTATTTTAAATGAGTATGCACACAAGCTGTGGTTTTTCGATACAAGCAGGCCAACTCAATAAAGCTAAAACTGCCTGATAAACACAAAGCTAGAAACACTTTTTTTGTCAGAGGAAAGCAAGTAAAAATTAAGCTAAAGACACAGAGCTCCCCAATGCCTTCTGCCTTAGGTCTGAAACACAGCCCCGGCCCTGCGGTGAGCAGCAGGTACTGTGTGGCTGCAGCGCTGGACGTTGCACGTCTCCCACTGCCCCGCCAGTGGCCCCAGCGGAGGGACTGCCACCCCAGCTCCCGAGGACACGCTGGCTTTGTACCTCCTGCC